CAACTATTTGAAGAGAGTCTTGAGATGTGATTCCTACTTCAATGAGGGTTATCCTATTCTGTCTCTTGTCTAAAATAAATATATCTGGTCTGTTACACGGGATCTTGACATCAGTTTTTATTCTGGTGTCAATTCTTATCTCTGCATATTCGTTATCAAGAATTTCTTGAACTGAGTGGCTTCTAATTCGTTTCGAAGACTTAAACTTATATTTATTCAGCAAGAGTAAATGTATACATCGTACCACTTCATTATGTCGTCTAGTAATAGTCATGGCAAAGCATTTTTTCACATCTCGTTGCTAAGTGATCAACTGTTTTCCTAGACTGGTTGCAGTGTTGACACACATCATCTACTCCCCAGAATACATTGCTATCCTGGATATAGCAAAACACTACTTCATCACGTGGTCTAATATTTTCTTCTTTGAGCCATCTAGACGATTGACTAACACTCGCAAACTCATTTTTTCCTGCATTATATAACTTTGAATGGAGTTTTCGTTTTTGATTTCGTTATATAGGTTAGCTAGTTGAGCTTCTTCTAATTTATTTTTTGTGACTTCCTCTTCCAACCTGTACTTTACTTTTAAGAAGCCTTTTATTAGTGCAAGATGGGTTTTATTATTATTCTCCACCTTGAGGATTGCTGCTCGTCTAGTTTATATTTCTTTACTTTTTTCCAGACAATCCAAGAGTTGCAAAAGCATATGTTCGCTTTTAAACTCAACACTATGGAGACCTCTCCCAAGTTCTGTTCTGGGAAGGTACGGACGCTCTTTACATCCTGGGCGTAGATGTATTTTGTTATTCACCAACACTGCACGCACCGCATCATCTAACTTAGAGAAGTCAGCCGGTTCTAGTCGGAGTACACCTATATGATAGTTTAGTAAAGAAATTGCATGTTGATTAATGGCTTGAAATAAATTCCTTGCATTTAATCTCGTGCGACAAATTCTCTCGACATGTGCTATAAGTTTAGTCTGTACTTCCTCAAACGACTTACTTGTTGGAATTCCTCTGCTAACTTCTATAATTCCAAGGTATTGATAAACACCTATTCCTTCAAGAAGAGTAGCAGTATCTTCACAAATGGATCATTAGTGGCTGACTTCTCTTTGTTAATTTCCAATCCTATATTATTCATAAACTTTTTAACCTCCTCCGTCATTTCTTCTAATGTTTGCTCATATTCGGCAAGGAGCTTAAGATCATCAATAAACAAGAGATGATTAGTCGCGTGGGATTCTACATATGTCTTTATTGTCACTTTTGTGTATTTCTCATTAAGCTTTCGGCTCAGTGGATCCATACACAATACAAACAACAATAGGGACAAACTATCTCCTTGCAGAATCCCTCTATCCAACTTCTTGCTCATGATTTTTTCAGGGCCTACTAAAAAATTAAATAAAAAGTATTTATAAACACAAAAATTAAATACTTATTTAACTCTTTGAATAAAAAAAGTAAGTATTATAAAAAGTATTATTAAAAGTATTAAAAGTCTAAAAAGTAATATAAATGTAACTGTAATATAAAAACTATTATAAATGTAATATTTATACAGTTATTACTAATCTATGAATACCTTTATTTATATCTCTTAATATAAGTAGAACAAAGAATAATAATTTTAATTAAATATTAACTAAAGAACTTATACATCAAGAACTTTATTTAAAACAAATAATATAAGTATTATCTTACTACTATTATATAATATATATAATATATATGTACTTACTCTCTTAATACTCTCTTATATACTTATATACTTACTATCTTATTGTATTATATATACACTACTCTCTTATTACTTACTTATATATATGCTTACACTCTAATTACACACTACTCCCTTATAACATACTTACCACCTATAAACACATGATCAGATGGTAAATGTACAGAAGGTAACCCAACAACCTTACTAAAATATTCTTCATCTACACCTGTTAAAACACCATTTACTTTAACTTCTCCACCATAAAATATATAATCAATAACACCTTTAAAACCAGGAGTATAACAAGTAGCATCATTAAGTGTATTTTCATGTGTATCACTTAACAATAAATTATGAGTAAAGCCATTATTATAAGGGCCATAGTCAAAACCATTAAAGGTATTCGTTATATTAGGTTGGTTATTGTTATTAGTATCTGTGTTTGATATGTTATTAGATTGGTTATTTAATATGTTATAGGTAGTGTTATTACTATCTATCCTATTATCTATCTTACTATCCACCCTACTATCATACCCCACCCCACTACTATTATCTATCCTACCTGTGCATATCATTTTATATACATTTGTATTCTTAAGTGAGTTAAAATCACCACACAAGAAAATACAAACTTTTCCTTTATTTTTATATTTCTGTACTAAAATTTCTAATTCTTCTATAATTAAGATACTTTGAAATAATTTAACATCTGTATATTCAGGATCCCAACATAGATGTACATTAGCAACAACAACGTAGGTATCTTTAGTATCTTTAATATAGTCTTTAGTATTAGTAGTATCTCTTATATTAGTATTAGCATAGTCTTTAGTATCTCTTATATTATCTTTTATATTACTACTACTATCTATCCTATTACTATCCCTACTACTATCCCTACTACCACCACCCCTACCCGCATTACCACCTCTCTTTACTTCTAATATCGTTATAACTCCTATGTTGTCTTTATTAACATTTCTATTTAAAATATCACCTTTTTCGTAAAACCTTTTATCACTTAAAACTGTAGTGTTAAATTCTACACATTTAGATTCTAAACAGGAAAATAAATTTTTATTGTAAAATATTGCACATCCGTCTACGTTTCCTTTATTTTTGTTATCCATACTTCTATATCTTGATTTTGGATAAAACAAGGAATTATAAGTTTTATTGTAGTGGTTGTAGTGTTCTTTACTTGTTTCTTTGTATTGTTCTTTGTACTGTTCTTTGTTTGTTTCTTTACTTGTTTCTAAACTACTACTCACACCACCACCCACTCCCCCTACACCACCCCCTACTACACTACTGCATAGACTCGGGTTGAAGTATTCGTTATAACTGTTTGCATCCATTTCTTGTATACACAATATATCTACATTATATTCAATAATCTGTTGTAAAATAGAATCTCTTCTATTTTCCCAGGAGAGTATCCAAGAAGGTACATATTTATAAAAAGTAGAAGTAGCATATGAAGGACAAAGAATATTATAAGAACCTACTGTTATACTAAGACCACAACAACTTTCATATTCAATCCATTCTCGTGGTGAAGGTATAGGATAAACAGTATTATTTTCTCTACAAAACGAAAGTAAAGAATTTTCACTTTCAAGATATAAAGTATTATACGGTTCAATAAGTGGATTATTATTTAAATTAAGTCTTTGTAATTGATATAAAGAACCTATTTGTAAAGGAATACTACTTATCATATTGTCACTAGCGTGTAATTCTCGTAAATTGTTTAATAAAAATATTTCATTGGGAAGTGAACGAAGATAATTTCTTGAAATGTCTAATACTATTAAGTTTTTTAGAAGAGAAATTGATGGGGGAATTGAGGATAGAGAGTTGTTGTTTATGTAAAGGTGTTTTATAAATGTTAGGGTGAATAGATAAGAGGATATGTTTTTTATACCTTGGTTTGATATATCTAGACCGTCCCATGACTCGGTGGTTGGTGTTTTGTAGCGAAGAGGTGATATTTTTTGTTTGAAAGGGCGTTTTTTGGGTGTATAAGGGTCATCCATAAGTAAGGGATAGATTTAAATAGAAATAATAGAAGGATAAAGAAATAATAGATATGGATAGATTTAAATAGTAAGGATAAAGAAATAATAGATATGAGTAGATCGATAATAGGGTTGTTAGTAATAAATAATATAAGAAGGATATAAGAATAATAAATATATAAGAAGGATATAATATGAATATAAAGAAATAATATAAGAAGGATATAAGAATAATAAATATATAAGAAGTATATAAGAAGAATAAAGATATAAGAACAATATAATAAAAGAATAAAACTTATAACAAAAACTCTGTTTAATTTGATTCTTCTGTAATAATAACTGATTTATTTGATTTGGTTTTATATAAATTATTTTGAAGATCAAAAAAATCATAAATATTTTTATATTGGAAACACATTCTTTCAATGTTTTTTTTAAGTCTATCAAATTCTGTATTCATTTTATCTATTTCGTTGTAAATATTTTGTATGTGCATTGTGTAAGGGTGGGTGGTTTATATTTTATAGAATAAATTTAAATTAATCTAAGATTTTTGTATGTGAATAAAATGATTAGTTTGGTTTATATTATTGTTCTAGTATTCCAGAAAAATTAAATAATCAAGATTTTGAAATAAAATGAGTAGTTTGGTTTATATTATTGTTCTAGTATTCTATGAATAAATTTAAATTAATCTAAGTATTTTGAAGTTAAATAAAATGATTAGTTTGGTTTATATTATTGTTCTAGTATTCCATGAATAAATTTAAATTAATCTAAATATTTTGAAGGTAAATAAAATGAGTAGTTTGGTTTATATTATTGTACTAGTATTCAATGAATAAATTTAAATTAATCTAAGATATTTTGTATGTGAATTGTTTAAAAGAGAAAAATTTTTTAACCCAGAATTTTATTAAATGAAAAGGTTGTGGTTTTATAATATATATTGGTTAAAATATAACTTAAGATGGTGGTGTAGAGAGAATAAAAAAAAAGTTTATAATTTATTTGATTTGTTTTTTATATTTTTAAAAGGTTAGTGTGTGTAATTATAATATTAAATATAGTTGTTATTTTATGGTAGGTATGTGGTTTAGAAATGATAGTAAATAAATCATAAGTATATTTTACTTTGTATGTTTAAAAAGAATGAAGTATACATATTTAAATAAAAATATATTATTTCTTTATGGTAGGTATTTGGTAGTATGTAGTATGGATAATTTTACTTTTTATTAATCCCCAATGGTCCAGTGGCTAGGATATCGGACTTTCACTCCGGTGGCCCGGGTTCGATTCCCGGTTGGGGAACTTTTTGGTGGAGATGAGATAATCTTATTAAAAATTATTTGGTTTATGATGAATAGGTGAGTTTATTTATGGAATAGTTGGTTCTATTTTTCGTGTGAATTAAATTTTACTAAATTATTTGGTTTATGATGAATAGGTGTTTATTTATGAAATAGTTGGTTCTATTTTTCGTGTGAATTAAATTTTACTAAATTCTCGTGTTTTTTAATGAAATAAATATGAAGAGTAGAAGATTTACGAAGTAGTGAACCTTTTTACAATCTTAGTTTGTGGTATCTATGTAACTAAGGGTGAAAAAACGGCTAAAATTATAGGTATTACCATATAAATGGATATTAACCAAGCCTTGATCTGTCTAGGTAAAAGAATTAGTACATGAGATATGTAAGAATAAATATCATTAAGAAACGAAGAAAGTTAAGTGGCAGGTTATAGATGTTGGTATGACATTGTAAGGTTAAATGAACCTTGTGTAAACACTAGAGATATATCATAAACGTACGTATATTCGGTTTAGGAAGGTAGTTAGATATGAATACTATTTGTCTTGAGGGGCCTAAGGAGATTTTAGATTCATTTCACACTTCAAAAGACTAACATATACTAAAATCTAGCGACTTACTCTGTTTATTAAATGAGTCTAAATAATTTTTAGTTCTAAATATTTAAGGTTCAAGTATTCAAGAAATACGTGTATAAGTTTCACGATCAATAATTTATGTTAAACCTAGAACTGAGTTAATGTCATGAAAAAAATATAGCAAAGGACAATTTTCCAATTGAAATGTTATTTAAATAAACAAGTTTCTTTTCTAACGAAATAATTCTATTTAATAAAACATGATTATCTTATTAAAATGTAAAACTATATTTTTTTTATGTAATTATGAGGTGATAGTGTTCATGAGTTTATATTATTGTGTTTATAAGTATAATGGGGTGTTCTAATTGTTTAAAATGAATATATTGGTTATCTTAAAGTTTCTTGGTTTCGGTTTTTAATATGTGTCACTAGATATTCATACTCAATCATTTTTTAAAAATTTAATAAAACAATGTTTATTTTAATTTGTTTCAAAGTTTTGGTTATATATATTCAGGGGTGTGGGAAATAAATAATTATTATGATATTATCTATTGTTATAAAGAGTTTTTTAAAACTATCTGTCTAAATATTTCTAAGCGTATGAATGATTTTAATCGCAATCAATCATTATATTTTTGCTTATTTTTGCAAAATTACTTGAACGAACCAACTCCGCATTTACAAATCTAAAAAACTTGAATTTTATTTTTTTGGTTTAAAAAATAGGCTTTTCAAATTAAAAAAATCAGTTTATTATTTGAAAAAAGGTAATTGTTAAACTCAAAATAATTTTTTTTATAATTTCTGATTTTTTTATTTGTAATCTCTTAAATTTAAAATAGTATTTGTCTCAACTTTTTAATATATTTGGTACTATAAATTTAAATTTGCAAGTTTAAATGTAAGATAATTTTTGCAATAAAAAATCCGTTTTTTCAAAAAAATATTTTTCATTGAATAAGAATTCGGAACAAATGTTTTTTTTAATTCGGTTTAAGTAATTTCTCTGTTTATGAAATTTATCATTTATTTTTTAAGTTTAAAATCTTGTTTGCAAGTAAATATCAAATGTATCTTTTAACAACTCTTTTTATAGTTTCTAACAATTGTTTTAGAATAAATGATAGATTTTCATTTCACATTTCTAAAGAACTTTTTTTTATTTCTTTAACAATTGTTTTATAAAAAACGGAAAAATACAAATTTCTATTTCAAAAAAAAACTCATTTTTTTATTTGAATCAATTTTTATAAAAAAACGGAAAAATACAAATTTCTATTTCAAAAAAAACTCATTTTTTTATTTGAATCAATTTTTATAAAAAAATAAAAAATGCAAATTTCTATTTCAAAAACAACTCATTTTTTTAATTTTAACAAGTAAATATAAAAAACCAAAAATTAAATGATAAATTTACATAAAAAAAACCAAACGAAATTTACGTTACCGATAATTCCTTATAACTTTCATATTTGTTTTAAAGTATTTTAAAAATATAAATTTGTATTTTTCAGTTTTTTATATTTACTTGTCGAAATGCCTTTTACCCTACGATGGGACAAAATAATTTTATTGAAGAATTTATTAAAAGACACGGTAGAAGATTAGATTACGATTCAAAGAATGAAAAGCGTATAGCACGCGAACCACACAAAATAAGTAAACTAGCACGTAAATTACATGGTCATCGAGCAATAATGTTTCATCAGTCGCGAAGGACACAAAAAATTGCTATTAAAAAAGAAATTTGCAAAAAAACGAAAACGGTTGAGCCAATCGAGACATCAGCAATTCCACATTTTCTTCTGGATCGTGACATAAAAGAGTCAACAAATATTTCTAAAGAAAAGCAAAAAAAATCTATAAAATTGAGAAAATATGCTGTTCCGATTCCCAAAGTAAAAGGCATTTCTGAAGCTGAAGTTTTTTCTGTGATGAAATCTGGTAAAAGAAGAACGAATACGTATAAAAGAAAAGTAAATAAACCATGTTTTGTGTCTGATCAATTCACAAGAAAACCACCAAAATTTGAGCGTTTTATACGACCAATGGCTCTTAGATTTAGAAAAGCACATGTTACACATCCAGAACTCAAAACAACACATACACTTCCAATAATTGGTATCAAACAAAATCCACATTCTGAACTTTTTACATCTCTCGGTGTACTTTCAAAAGGAAGTGTTATTGAAGTAAATGTTTCTGAATTAGCAATGCTTTCTGAATCAGGAAATATTATTTGGGGAAAATATGCACAAATTACGAATCATCCAGAGAACGATGGATGTGTTAATGCAATACTGTTGATTTAATTTTTTTATTCTCAATAAATTTAGAATTTCTTCTAATGGTTTTGATTTTATTTTTCCTGGTCTTAGTAGAGTAGATTTTTGTTTTATTTATATTTCTGATATTTATATTTTATTATTTATGGTCTTAGTAGATTAAATTTTTGTTTTATTTATATTTCTGAATTTATATTTTATTTTTCCTGGTCTTAGGTGATTAGACCATAGTTTCTATTTTATATATTTCTGATATTTATATTTTATTTTTCCTGGTCTTAGTAGAGTAATTTTTGTTTCTATTTTATATTTTTGATCAATTTATATTTTTTAATTCTTGTCTGTTTAGATTTAAATACATTGGTAAATTATTTTTTAAAATATTTCTTTATAAATCATTTTATATTTATGAAACCACATTTTTTTAAAATAATAATTAAAATTTCTATATTTTTTCTAAACATACATTTATCCCTATTTAGATGAAGATATTTCATCAAAAATATATTTTAGAAAATTTAATATTTCTTTTAATTATATCTTATTTGTGGATAAATGTATCTTTAGTAGAAAAAATAGAAATTTTAGTGAATATTTTATATCTGTATTTTGAATTTACTGATTGTTTTAAAAATATAGAAATATTGATAATATCATATTGTTTAGTAAAAATAGAACAAAAATATTTATATAAGGAACTATTATACATAACATTTTATCATCAGTGTTTCTTAAGTATGTTTAGTACAAATATAATTTATTATTTGATTTATATTTTACTTATATTCGAAATACCGATACAAATATTTTATATTTGTGTTGATTTGGTTTTGAAAAATTTTTGGAAATTATTTTTAGATTTTGTTTTTACTTTGATTTTTATAACTTTACAATATTTTGTTGTAAGTTGGAACAATTTGAATTTCAGAAGAAAACTTTTTCATTTTTTTTTATTTATAATTTTTGTGACAATTGATAGTAAATTTGATATTTTGTTTGAAATACTTTTGTTTTTAAGTGTATTTTTAACTACAAATAAATGGTTCAATTATATTTCTCGAAAATATAAAAATGACAAGGATAATGGGATATTTCCAGTATCACATATTTTACTGATTTGTTCGTGTTTTTTTCCAAAGTTTTTTATATCTGAAATTAGACAGTATGAAGCAATATTAATTTGTGTGTGTATTTTGGATTCTTTTTCTTCGATTGGTGGTTTATATTTTAAATCAGTGGATAAGTCTATAATAGGATCGTTCTTTGGATTCTTTGTTTCTATATTGTTACATTATTTGCTTCAAAATACCTTTGAGTTCTTTTTATATTTTTTGTTCATGAGTTGTGTTGAATATTTAACTACATTTAATGATAATATTATTTTACCATTTTCTTCAATTTTATTTTTTAATTTTTATTATTAATACTGATTAGATAAAGAAAATAGAGATGTGGTTTAATAAATCTATAGACGTTTATTCAACAAATCTATAAATAACGATTTTTATTAGTAAAAATTGAAATATTAATAATTATTATTTATACTATCTAAACTTATAACGATTGTAGAATTTATATTAAATTTTGTTGTTTTCTGGAAAACATAAGAATTGACGTAAAAAAACTTTATTTTAACACTTCGTCTTTTTTGAATGTTTTTCCTTGAAATCTTTCTAGATTTTCTCCAAATACACTGGTTTTTGGCAAAACAAATATTCTACAATTTACTATTTTTGCACCGGATTTTTCCATATAAAGTCTTGATCGTTTAGAAATATCATCTACACATGTTCTTGGATTGTCAGTAGTTTTATCGTATCCGTTTTTTAATGGTGAAAATTCTAAAAGTCTAGGAACATTCATCACACCACAATTATTTGAAAAAACGAAACAATCAAATATAAAATATTCATCTTTGAAACCGTTAGGTTCTTTTGGTTTTATAATTTTTCCGCCTTCAAAATACGGTATTTTTTTAACCGCACGGTGGATTGGCAATGTTTTATTTGATATATTTTCCATAAAATTTACTGAAAAAATATGGTTACAAATATTGGCCTGGAACGGATTTTCACCAAATGTCGAGGAAAAAGAAGATTCCGAAGTTATTTCTGTAATTGAAGAATTGG